TGTGGAATGGGAGTGGAAAAATCCCATCGGCTCAGATCATCCGCTATGACATTGTCCGCGCCAGGTATGGCTCACATCCAATTCAATACCCGTTGTCGAAGCCAGGCACGTGAGGATCTCGACAAAGAGACATAGAGGATGAGTCGTAGTGAATAATTTGTTGCTCACGCTCTCTGCTCCCGTATTGTCGCTCAAAGATTTCACGCAAATGGGAATACGAAAACCAGGAAACGATGTGGCCACCAGCCAAACTAACGCAATTTGGGCTAAAGTTTCAAATGAAGCAATGCTTCGTTGCATATTTGGGTCTAAATGAATTGACAAAATGTCAAAATCAGCATGGAAAAATTTCTCAGAAAACCAAAATTGAACTCCTGAAGGATGACGGATGAAACCTCCAATTTGGCAATAGGAACCCGATGCACATGCATCGGCTGCCGCAACGCCATTCCAGTATGGCTTCGCTCTCATTGGTCGAGATGGAGAAACACCCATCAACCAATGTTCAAATAACTTCAAAATGCGAAGAGAATCAGGACGAAGCTTGCGTTTGGAGGAATTCGGATTAATAATCCTTAGCCAAATCCTGTTATCCGTTTTGATATATAACGATGTCAGATCCGCCAATGAGGATACCGCTTGATGTCGAACTGCAATGAGCTTGCCTGAAATAGGTATAGCGGAGCCCAAAGGTGCTGTATGAAAAGTCAAATTAGGTGTTAAATATTGATGAATGCGAGGCCATGTACCAGCATCAATACTGAAATGTGTCGCCGGGATGGTGTAGAGGTCGTGGTACCAATAGTGGATCCAGATCCGCATGAGGGGAAATAATTGAGTAATCCACATTGCCAGGCCAATAAGTTTCTCCAAAGACTTGCGAGTAGTTCGTGGCTGGGAAATAAGATGTTCGATGTATCCTCGGAGTTTGAGGATCTTTTCAATGGGGATTGTCACGATACCTGCATTGAAATTAAATTTCCAGCCAATATAGTCAATGGAAGAGTGCATGGCCGTCTTCTTCCAGCTGATAGGAATTTCCAAAAGCTGGCAAAAAATACACAACAATGTGGCTGACAGTGGCATCATGTTGGCTTCCATAAAGAATAAGAAGTCATCCACATATAGAAATCCCGCGTGACTCAACCAGATCAAGTGGTGAAATATACGGAGAAGGAGTCCACCCAATCTCGCCCACCAAAAGGCAGAGAAAACTGCACCAAATGGGGTAACTCTATAGAAGAAGAGCTGTCCTTCTAACGAAAAGCCTACCAATCCGCATTCGTCCGGATGTAGAACTATTCTTTTATGAGCAGCCTTAACGTCTAAAGAAAAGCCCATTAGATTCCTCTGACACTGACGTAGAGGGTAGCTACGTAACACCTCCTTGGCAGTCGGGAGGGTGGACCTCTCCGGTATGATACACCGACCGTTGAGGCCGCATACGCTGGAGTCTACAACTAATCGGGGGGGTCGACTATCGGAGCGAGCCACTCCCAATTTTCCAATAGCAACTCCGGCCGGATATTCTTGTTGTGCTTCTTCCAAAGAACCTTGATATGAAAAAAACCATCCCTTGTCAATTTCTTCCTCCAGTTCTCGGGTTAATGGTAGATCTTCTTCAGCACTCTGCCAGTTGGAGAGGTGAGCTGACAATGGATCGGGTTCTATATCCGTACGTTCTTTGGGTGGAAAAATACCCGACGGAGGAATTGCCTCGGAAAAACCATTTCGAACACCTTCCAATAAACTGGGTAATAATGTAAAATCGACGTCATGCATAATCTTTTGTAAAGAATGTAAAATATGAAGATGTATTGGTTGATGTTGTCGAACTGACCAATCTGGTGTATGTCCATGTGCCTCCAAGAATTTCTCCAGATCATCCTTGAATGGAGTCAGAGTTTCCATCGAAAAAGGAGGTGAAGGGTTGCCCGACGCCACATGCGCAAGTAGGATCTTATCCAATCGCTCAGAGATGATCCTGTTCATCCACGAAGTGCGGAGCATCTTGAACCAGTCGTGTTCTTGACGATTATCCTGACTCCAGTCCGGGTGGGAAAAAGCTCCACCCCCATCGATTTGCGCAAATGGATACTCTGACAGGTGCTTGGTTGGCATGAGGGCATCCAAAGATGACCATTGTAGGTCCAACGCTGATGTGTCCAGTAATGGGGCCACGAGGTTGGCAAATAATTGTGCCAGTTTCTGTGGGTATTGTGCCGTCGCCCGACTGGCAAAAGCACCAGAATCGTCTCGGAGACCTTGAAGGCGAATATGAGAATTAGGGGGATGTTGACAAATGCAGCCTAATGGTCGAAGACCTGCAAAACTCGAGGCAAACATCCAGGCTTTGTAAACATCCATCTCATAAGCGCAAGCTGCCACGTTGATACAGGAAGCCCCAATCAATTGCAGAAATTGGCGTACTACCTTCTCTAACCATGACATAGCGTTCAAGGGTTGTTCAAGATGGACGTGCCCGCCTGCTTGAAAAACCAGGGTGAGGACCTCGACACAGCGAGAGAGCATCATAAAGCTCTCTTGTACACGTTGGAGTTCCCAGGGTGTGAGATTGGGCAGACCGGACAAGTGCTCTGGTGATCGTAGAGCCTTGGGACCATCATCATCTCGAAGTTTGAGTCTGCTATATTCACAGCAGGAAGGGCTGGCCGCTCCATAACCAACCTGACCACTTGATGCGACACGCAACAAATCCTCATAGGCCGCATCTGATAAAATATCCATAGACGAATCCAATAAAACATCAAAAGAAAGAACTGAGTGGCCATGCTCCAATACAGCTGTCGATAACGGACGTGTAACACCTGAACAAACATCGAGAAAAAATTTGCCTGAGGGAACTGTTTTTAAAATTGAAGTTGAAATGGTTGGTGGAAATGACGTAGAGGAAACCAAGGATTCCGCTGTGACGGGGACGGTGGCAGAGATATCTGTTTCCGCATTCGCCTGCTCGGGTTGGGACAAACGGCCCCGGGTAAAACTATCACTAGGTGGAGCAAAGTCTTGAACTGGGTCCACTTCATGCACTGGGAGAGTCTCCACGGAGTCAATCTCATTGAATGGATCATGCATGGTGAAACCTGGGTCACTATCCCCTTTGGGGAGTCAGTGCGGGGTGGCAAAATGGGACATCGCCCCATGGTTTTTGCCACAAGCTTTTCCATCAACTGGGTACGCACACAAATGCTGAAAGCCACAGTTGGGAGTCTGACACTTGCCCACCTGATATCGCATGCAGAGTTGCTTGAAACCACCATCCCGTTGAATCTCCGTGAGCCATTGGACCTTGCCCTTGGATTTCCCGGAATTCTGCTTGCCCTTTGACTTCCCTTGGCCTTTGCCTTTCGGTCCATCACCACGAGGGGAAGCTGTCTGAGAAGATGGTGATGGGAGTGGCTTGAACACGCGAGGGCGTGGTTGAAGGAGACTTGGTAGGTCATGACGTAAATTCGTCATTTCATGCAAGCAATCATCCATGTTCCATCCTCGTTCCATGAGCTCGGCAATGACCGTCCAAATTTTTTGGTCTGCATGTTGAGCCTCCAATACACTGGGGTTACGTAAATCTCCATCATACTTGGCGGTCAAAAACCCGATGAATTTGTGGGTATAGGCCTTGAGATTGGCGAGGTGAGCGCCTTGGCACAAGGCAATGGCCCGATCATGAACCTCGAGCATATTGCGAATCGAGTTCACCCCCATGGCGTTGTTGGACACGTCGATGGAGGGAGGATCATCAAATAATAAGGAGTGTAACCCCAGGTGATCAATTTTGGGCATCTTCTGAGCTCGATTGCTAGAAATCTCCTCTGACCTGGTGAGAGAGATGCGATACTTCCATGGCACCCATTTCCAAACCTTCTTGGAGAGCTGGTCATGAACCAAGCTCACTAATCTGGTCGATGGAAAAAGGTCTGCATGGATCAACTCCGATGGATAGTTGGCCATGAATTTTTGTTTCATCGCCTGCAACACGGCATTCTCCAATTTGGGAGGAAAGGCTTCTGCCCAAGACCCGGCTGGCGTGGTAGTGCTCAATGTTGGGGTTGACACAGCCGATGCACTAGGTCCTTGTTGAGGTTGGAGAGACTGAAATGCCGTACGGAGGCACGCCTTTTGGAATGCCGACAAAGGAGTAGAAGACGACCATTCCTGGAGAACATCTTCAAATCCATGAATGTCAGCTGCTGCCATGCGAAACGATTGACAGGACCATCCCTCCATCATAAGTGAGCTCGTGAGGGCCGAGTCCACCCCACTCTGTATCAAAACATCTTCCAAATTGTCAGACGCCATGGCACCACCACGTAGACAAAGGAGAAAATATCTGATGATCCCCGAACCCCAAACAGGATCCCTTATGTTGAGGGGAAAAGCAAAAACTTGCAAAATAAAATCTTGACAGCGCCATTGGACGTTAGACCAACCATGAAAGGGGTGGATACTCCATAGTGCAACCCCTAAAATAAGTGCATGTTGTTGCACAACTGATTGTTGACCCACCGGGTTCACTCGAGCCATCACCGACGGCAACCATGACGATATAGCACGTCACTCACACCGTGAGTGCTGCTTCAACCACCGGTTGAAAAATGATGAATTGACCACCGGTCAAAGTAAGACTCACACCGTGAGCTAATAACCTCAACCACCGGTTGAGACGCTGAATGACCACCGGTCATTGTGGTACTCACACCGTGAGTCCATAGTCAACCACCGGTTGAATATAACATGACAACCTGTCATTTCAACTCACATCGTGAGTAACCATTCAACCACCGGTTGAAATGTGATGCCAACACCGTTGACATGTTAGGGGATACCATCCCCTATTGTACAAGAATCTTATTCTACACTCCACAAGCGCGCACGTGTTTTTCCATTTTTTTAAAATAATTTCCGAACGCTCGTCAAACGCGTTTGCAAAACAAAACTCACAAAGTGGATCACATGAAACAACGACATGTCCGATGGAATCACTGGCGACACTCTTTTTCATCGGGGAAAGCTTCAGCACCTTCCGACCTTCAGGGCCGAAGGGTGTGGCCTTTTTAGACCATAGGAAAAGGTTTTCGAGGGTGGGTAAAAATTGCAGAGCAAAGGGAGGGAAAGACGAAAACTTCTCCGTCATAAAAGGGGCAAAACCCTCCCACCCTACCCTTGATGGAAAAGGTTTCAGACGAAACAAAGATTCATCATGTTTGACCATGAAATTAAAGTGTTGGGAAAACTGGAAAACACACCTAGTGCGCAGAGCAAAACGGAAGTTAAACAAAAAGTGTTTGTTTGAAAACTTCCAGATTTGATTTAAGTTGTTTTGCTCAAACATTGTTGCGTGTGCGAATAAGAGAAAGTTTCTCATGAGAAACTCGCAACTTATTCTACACTCCACAAGCGCGCACGTGTTTTTCCATTTTTTTTAAATAATTTCCGAACGCTCGTCAAACGCGTTTGCAAAACAAAACTCACAAAGTGGATCACATGAAACAACGACATGTCCGATGGAATCACTGGCGACACTCATTTTCATCGGGGAAAGCTTCAGCACCTTCCGACCTTCGCCCCATGTCACAACTCAAGGTGCTCCGACATCCAATCCCAGTTTATACTGGTTTGAGTGGCACCGAGCTGCAAGACTTCTTTGAAATCCAAACGACTGGGTGAGTCCGCTGGATTGCTGTAGCTCGGAACTCGCCCAAACCAAACACGATGCTGCAGGGACGACTCAATGCCCACAAAGGCTTCGATCATCTGTGCAGCTCTCAAGGTTTCTCCGTGACCCCTGATGTGCGCCATTCTCGATGACTCATTGTCGATGTAGTAAACCACTTGCGACCCCTCATAGGCTTTTCCCCAGAGGTGAGCTGCCAGCAATATTGGCATCACTTCCAGCTCATGGATTGGGTTCATTGAGTTCGCCAGCAAGGCGTCCATAATTGTTTGTGGCACGCTCTCACCAAAGAAACTTCTGCAGTTGCCTTGAGGATCGTAAATGACCCCTCCAACAGACCCATGGCGAGCTTCTGGATCGCAAGCCCCGTCTGTAAAAATAAGCCAGGTCTGATGCAGAGATCGTTGGATCTTCAACGGCTTGCCAGCCAAAACTCTTTGTTGTAAAAACTCCAAAGACTTCCTCATTGCTGCATCAAACTGGGGCGTTGGCACTTGACTATGGCAATACCTTCCTATGGCCTTCACTGCTGAATTTGCAACTCTCCCGAAGGTGTACCCCTCGAAGAAAATCATCCTCCCCCGCATTCGCTCCGCCTCCTTAGAGGTCATGGCATTGGCCTTGAGAAAGGTATCCAATTGGTTGTGCAACTCCTCCCTGCGGCTGTCAGTGTGGCCAATGAGTATGTGGCCGGCTTGAAAATCTCCAACATCGATTTCCAACCCCAGAGCCTTGAATTTTGAGGCGAAGGGGACACATTTGTGTCCTTCTCTTGCAAACTCTAAACCAAGCAAGTCGAAAAGTGCCTCACATGCCCAGCTGCTGCTGTTCTCAAGCTCCATCCTTGAAAGCAACGTGTAATCGTCGTAAAAGGCACTCCAAAGAAGTCCGAGGCCAAAATAGCCTATGAACCAAAGGGCTTGACTGACCCTCAAAAAGCCCGCCACAGAGCCCACTGCACCGAAGGGCAACGAGTTGAAGCCTATGATGGCGCATTGTTTTGCGCTCGGCACATTTACTCCCATCCGCAAAATCTGTCGGTCGGAGGGATGAACCGCGAATTGTTTGTACGCAGAACGTAGATCGTACGTCCTGCCTCGGAGCTGGGGTCGCCCCCCATCGTCGCCAAACTTCAAAGCGCACCCTAGCATGGCTGCTAGGAAATCCACAGAGTGCAGCTTGAATTTCTCATGCAACCCAACAGTCAAGTTGAGACCGCAGCATGTGCAGTCATCAATGACCCTAATCTTGGACCCCTGGTGGATCCCGAACCTCTTGCCCACGAACTTGCCGTCTGTCGCCCTCTTTGTCGAGGAATATCCACCCTTTTTCAAGCTCTGTCTGAGTTTCCCTCCATGTAGCTTCCTCCAACTCCGTCTCCTGTCGCTTGTCCAAAGACGCAAAGTTCTTGGTGTTGAAGGACCTGCCCAACTTTTTCAGGGTTTCCATTGACAAAGGTGGCCTTTTAGACTTGGCCCTGAAGACATTGGACTTAGTCATGTAGCCGCTCAAACGAAAACCAGCTGCTATTTCGCTGACCAGCTTGTCATCTGGATATCCCAAGTCCTCCAAAATTTCACCCATCAAAACCAGCCTCTTGCGGCCAACAACTTGCCTCACATGTTCGGGCATCTGTGCCCTCAGTCGTTCCTCCTCCGCTGAAAGTTGTTTCGCCCTTTCAGTCCATCGTTTCATGAACTGAGCTCTTTTCTTTGCCAAGACAAAAGGAGGATCAATCAAGTTGAGTTTGACAACTTCCAGCATAGCCTCATCGACGTGCACGTCAAGCCCTCGGGGGTGCCCAGCTTCATACGCCCTTTCCACAAAGTGACTTGGTGAACTGGGCACACCAATCCAACAAAGCTCGACCATGTCGCCATCTTGCAAGTTTTCTACCCCAGCAAGGAGTTTGCAGTCTTCTTTCACGACCCGAATTTCGCCCCTTCTCCGCAACTGTCGTGAAGTGATCTTGGAACCCTTTGGGAGCGAAGCCAAAAAGGAATCTATCGCCTGTGTTTGTTGTGTTGGCACCACAGCAGCAACAAAGGTACCAAATTCTGCCACCAACGGTCGCACTTTTGTTCCTCTGGGCAGTGATCCCAGAGCGATGCGGCCTGCTGCATCCGCATCGGGTTGTTGTATTTGCTCAGCAAGGGTTGTGGACAGAATCGCTCCTTGTTGCAGAACTTTTTGTTTGACGCACTCAACTATGCGCTGGCACAGAACTTGCGGATAAGCTGCTTCTTCCGAAGTTGGGAAGTGCACTGATGTATCTGTTACAGTCACTTTCCAAGACTTGTGACTGTGAGAATTGTCACAACGGGCTTCCAGCGCATCCAACCAGTCATCATTGACCCAAATGGAAGTCAATTTGTCTCGTGACCCTCCGTGGCTGCAGTTATGGAAGGTCACAAACTTGCGTCCAAACTCCTCCATGATGTTCTGCATTGGTGTTGTGCCCCAATAGTGACTGTTTGCTGGATTTTCTATGCCAGTAAAAATTTTTGCTTTGCAAGTGGTGCGGGTGATCTGCTCGACCGCGCTGTAAAGCATGTTTGCTTTCTCCACCTTCACCTTGTCAGTGTTTGCCAGACCGTCAATTTGGTCTGGCTGTTCATGCGATCTCAAAGGGATCGGCACGGCTATGCCAAGTTTTTTCAACTGTGGGAGGCGCCTTTCTCTCGCCTTGCTAGCAGTGCCGCATGAAGGAGCTATCCAAACTGCTGCTATGTTGTCAGCCTCAGCTTCAAGAAACTGACATAGGTCGTCTACTTGGCTCTGATCTTCCAGTTCAAAAATGCAGATATCAATTCCGCATGATCTGCGGTCTGTATGATCAACCGCAATGCCTTTGAAACCAGCGTCCCTTGCAGCGCGAGTTAGCCTTGCACTGCCAGCACAAACCTCCACAAAAATAATGTCATTGACCAGCTTGCCCTGAAACTTTGATCCATGCTGCTCTGTGAATTCATGCGACCCCATGCTCTTGGAGCTGGTGCTTGTGTCCATTGATGGCTGTGGTGCAGGCTTGACACAGTTTTGAACGTGCCTGCTTTTTGCACCACCCTTTTTGCTGGGCCTGGCTTCGTTGTTCGAATCAGACCCTTGTGAAACAAATTTCCTCTTCCCACCTGACTCCAAAATGATGTCAGTGGGCTCGCACTGTCAAGCTCCGTCTTTTGAAAGGCCCCGGCACACCAAAACAGAGTGTCCAGGCTTGTGACAATTGGCACATACATGGTATCCTTTGGCACACCTCGATGGCTTGCCAGAGGTCTGGTTCTTGCAGCCCGATTTCAAGTTGTAAGCCCAGCAAACTGGACCGTGTTCACACTTCAGGTTGAACTTTCGTAACTCATCTGGGCAGCTTTTCTCCGCTCTGGTTTTTCTGCGTTTGTTTGTGCTCTTTGCCGCAGCCTGTGCAGGAGTCCCTGTCAACGGCTTCTTGGTGGCCACCTCCTTGTCGACGACCTTCGCGCCTGCTGTCGTAGGAAGCAGGAACATTGTGATCCTTGGGTCTTGACACAGCCTCTGCACCATGGCGTCCAGAGGGATGTCACCCGCTGCATTGGGTTTGAGACTTCCTTTCGTCTCCTGTGCCAGCAGCGTCCAAAGCTCGCGATCGGCCCGCACAAGTTGCTCCACTTTAACCTGACTGAATCCTGGCGGTGCAGTCTGGCTCAATGTGCGGAACAGTTGGTGCACCCAAGCGTCATGCACGTGCCATGACAGCAGTCTGCACTGGTCCATGGCCAGTCCACGTCTCTGCCAGCACCATTGTAATTTTATCTCACTGCCATGGTCTGCTCTGAACTCTTCCGGCACCTGGGAAACTCGGAGCTGCTGGTTCTCCACCTGAACTGCTGATGGCCGCTCCTTGATTGCAAGTTGCACCTCATCGGCTCTCTTCGTGCACCTGCTTGGTGCAATCCAGACCAGCGCACCTGTTTCCAATATGTTGTTTGTCAAGTCAAGCAACTGATGACTTGGCTCCAGCTCGCCGCAAATCTTGATCCCTGTCAGTCTGCGCTCCTGTTGCTCCAGCCGATGCCTTTTTTCGGCAATGGGAATTCTCTTCACGCTGTCTGCTTTGTCTGCCGCTTCACTGTCCACTTTCTGTTTGACAGAAGCAATCATAAGGGTGGTTGACTCGAAGTGGAGTCTACGGATCATCGCTGTTTGTCCAAGCGTCGCTCCTCCACCAAACACTGCCTGTGACAACGTGTTGAACTGCTGATCACTGGGAGGTGCTTGAGGTGTCCCCAGTGAGAAAGCCATGCCACTGAAAGTGGATATGTTCTGAGCTGCAAGGGCTGTTCCAAACTGCCCTGTCTCGTCAATCTCATTGCATCTCTGGGTGAAGGCCGCATTGCTTTCCACCAGTGCCATGACCGTCACGCGATCAAACTAAAGTAATTCAAAAAAAAACGTTAATGTTTCTCGAGACACCCATGTAATGAACTGCCCTGCTCACATGCCAGTGTCATTAAAAAGTTTTCACTCTCCTAGTTGAAGCTGATGGTGTGATGTAATGAACGTCACTCCCACTCAGTTTTGCAACGTGTGTGCTGTGTTTGGCTCCCTACCGTGGAAAACCCTGGTAGCTGAGCCTCTCCACACGCACCACAAAATTTCATGTGCCTTCTCAACAAATCTGAGCACGGCCCAGCTGTGTTCCGACACTCTGAAAACTGAAAAATCAAGCATGCAATCACCTCGACACATGTATCCAGCCCACAACGAGTGCGATGCTTTTTGGACTCACTCTGTGTCTGGTTTGTTTTTGAAACTCAGCAGGTGACGTCAGGCATCATGGGATACCCAGTGCTTCCACTTCCCATCAGTGCAAAAAGAAACATTGATGCAAAGTTTCACGATCAAAGTGTAAACTCTGTGCATCACATGTGAAAATGAAAATCAAAGCACTGACCTTTGAGTGGCGCCTTTCGCCGACACCGCTTCTGTGGTGAAATTGGTGCAGGCGCGATCTGACAGGTGAATCGTTCATGTCGGTCATTGTTGTCAACTTGAATGAACACGAAACGCAATGTGAAGTCAGGTTGTTACGACTACCTGTGTTGTCAACGCAGCACCTAATGTCATGCAGGTGAAAAAGGACATGCAGGAAACGAAACTGGACTGTGCAAGTGTCATCGGCTAAGGCCATATGGTCCCGACGCATCACATGCATATCCTTGCATGTCCCTCCAGCCACTCTGTGCTGACCAACCAAGCAGGTGAATCAAAAGCTGTCAACACGACTGCACATTGAATTAAAGTTGAACATCACTGCAACAACAAGAAGTGTGACTTGGAGTTTGCGATCCCTGCTCTACTCAAAGCTTCTGAGGTCCAAGCGTTGAAAAATAAAGCACGGGTCACGCTCACACGTTCGACAGGTCATGAAATGAAACACAGGTAAAGGGAAAATGTCATCCAAAGTTCCATGCAAAGTGAAAACAACTGCACATTGAATGGTTTGAATTGAGCTCCAGACAACATGAACCTGTCAGCCCCCCTGCTCAGGTCAACGGGCCGGCTGTGTCAGCCTTTACTGGCTTTGTTGAAACAAGCCCAGCACACCGGTGAATCAAACCTTGGATCTTGGGTGATCCTTTTGTGAAAATTGCCCACAGGTCGGCCACAAACAAAGACCCTGACATATCCAGGCTCTGTCAAGTGAATTGTTTTCAACTTTGAATGCTGCCAACACTGATAGTCCTCTGGAGGTTTGGGCGGAGCAAACACCTTATTCAAGGCATGGTTCTCCGGAATGTCACCTGAAGAAGACCCTGAGTCAGACGTGCTGTCTGATGTGGCGGACTCATGCAAGTCATCGCACTGTTCTTCTTCTGACGAACATACAAGCTCAACCTTGACGTTTGAATTCTGAGGTCCAGGCTCATCATCAGGCGAGTCAATCACTCGTCCACTTCTGGTGCTGTCGGGTTTGAATTTCCCTCTTGCAATCTCATCAATCAAACGCTCAAGTAGCAACAAACTTGCAGCTGCCCCATCCCTTGAGTAAACCATTGCCATGTGCATCTGTGAAGCATGGTAACCAAGCATTAACCTGTCTGGAACTGAAAGCCCTCTCTTGGCCGCATATGAAAGCATGGTGCATTTGAGGCTGTGACTACTCACTCGCCGTCCAGGATCTTCCGGTGCAAGTCCATCAAGCCCCAACAAGCGACGTAGCCACTTGCCGCATTCTCCAGATTCCAGAGGCCTCTGTGAAACCCCACCCTCTCGATCTGGAGCGGGCATGACGAGCCCTTCTGGCGGGAACGATGCTCCCAGCTCTTTCCTTTTCTGCAACCAAGGAGTGACCCAGTCTTTCCCATGTACGCCTTTGACAGGCGCCACCATCGGCAGGAACTGATGCCTGTGCATCTGGGAGCTCATGGTCTTATGTCGACCTGTCCTTGTTTCAAAGTAAGCCGGCTTGCCCTCTGCGTCATAGTCTACGAAGGCCGACTCACTCCTCATCAAGTCGCCCCACCTGCCCCTGCAATAGCAGCATAAAAGCGCCGCTCCAGCAAAGGCTGAATCCCACAAGTCTTCACTTGTGTCGACCACCTCGTGCAACTTGTTGAGCTCAAGCACTGTCAGTGGGCTCGCCTGCTTGCGTTCCTTTGGACAGGATTCAAATGCCACACCACTGCACCTCTTGCTATCCAGAATGCATTGCAACTCTGCCATGTCCAACACATGTCTGCAAAAGGCAATGGCTTGTATGAAACCCTTCATTCTGCTTGCTGGAGCTCCTGACGACTCTTCGTGGCAAAGGAACCTGTAAAATGTTATTTCTCTCATGGGAAAGGGCTCCAGGACGTTCTGCTCCAAGTAATCACATACTTTGAGAACTGCTGCACCACGCTTGCGCACAGTCACTGGAGCTCGACCTGAAAACACGTGTGCAAACATTGTGAACACCTCTCCTTCGTTGCGCATCTCTCCAAGCTTCTGTGCCAGTGAGTTTCCATCACTCCATCTGCTTGTAACTGCAATCCACAGTTTGATGCTACGCTGTAGGTCTGCCTCCCTCTGATCTTGCCATGGGACGTCTGGCTTGAAAGAAACAACGTCCATGAAATTGCATGCATGAGCGTGTGCACGCTTCCTCGAACCTGCTGCTTCCGTTTCCAATGCCTGGTTGTCCAAGCCCCACAAAGACGGAGTGGGTCTAGTCAACTGTGGTCCCCAAACATCAAAGTCCAAAGCAGTGTCATCGTTTCCGAAGATGTGTTTCCAAACGCCAGTTTCCCAAATTTGTTTTGGCAGTTCAGCGTCTGTGGAGTTGAAAGCTACATTCAACGCAGCATCAAAACTAAAAGCAGTTGAAGAGGTGGCCAACTGAGTTCGATTCAAATCATTCTCAGAATTGCGCTGTAAAAAATGCTGTCCAAACACACCATCTTCTGCAACAGTCGTAGGACTGAACTCTTCTGAAATCCCCTGAGCATCTGCACCATTGTCCTCAACGTCCAGTGCCTCTTCAAGCTTGTGCAAGTCATCTGAAAAGCTGACAAACGATCCAAGCCCTTGAAAAGCATGGGATTCAACTTCTGTTGGTTCATCAGTATGACCGTTTGCAGTGTGATCCATGGAACTAGCAATACATCAGGCGCCCCCTTTGAAAGACGAAAACTTCTCCGTCATAAAAGGGGCAAAACCCTCCCACCCTACCCTTGATGGAAAAGGTTTCAGACGAAACAAAGATTCATCATGTTTGACCATGAAATTAAAGTGTTGGGAAAACTGGAAAACACACCTAGTGCGCAGAGCAAAACGGAAGTTAAACAAAAAGTGTTTGTTTGAAAACTTCCAGATTTGATTTTAAGTTGTTTTGCTCAAACATTGTTGCGTGTGCAAATAAGAGAAAGTTTCTCATGAGAAACTCGCAACTGAATCCCTCCCTAAGTAAAAAGAGGGGAAAATAACGCAAAAAATACCCAATATGGACTTACTCGGTTAACCCTACCAGGGAAAGACCGACTGCACCCAACAGGTCACCGACCCGTGGGCCAAAAACTCCAAGCGCAAAATTTTTCATACCGCTTGGAATGGGATCTATCCAGATCCTTGCAGGAGCTGACAAGTGTGCCAAACCTTCCTGCATGCTGCATGCTGGCAGAACGGCATAGTCGAGTCGAGTCTATCCAAGATCTCGGCTTCCACACCACGCATTTGCCTACCACAGGCAGGTTTGAGAGGCTGTCCTTGCCACCTAGGACGCCAATCTTCATCATCGCCGGCGCGCACTAGTGCATGCACAACTGATCGATATCGTCCCACCAGGACTTCATCGACATCCAAAGGTACCACGTTCACCTTGGAAGTCTTGGGTCGAGGCTCCATAACCTCGTCATCCGACGATGAATCCGATGAACTCTCAGAACTGCTGGTCGATGACTCCAAAAAATCTGGAGCTGGTGTCTCAGAGGACGCATTGAATTGAAACCACTGAAAATCAAACTGCGGGAGAGATTTGACAAATTTCTCCAAAACAACCTTGGGTTCGACCATAGGAGCCTGACTACCCCGATGTTGGGCAATGGCTGGACGCCATCCACTCTGAACCTCTTGTATCATCTTGCGCTGATACGTCAAGGACGTCCACACCACGTCACGTGAGTATGTGTCCAAACTGCTATTGGGATCCGAATGGTGTCCCTGAGACAAACGCTGTTCCGGGGTGACCTTTTCATGCAGCTGCGGTCCCCACGACAATAACGTCGCTTTGAGGGAGTGCAAAGTGAAGTTTAACTTCAAATGCTGCAAGGGATCTGGTCTTTGACTCCATGGGCAACCCAAAAATTTCCGTAAGTAAAATAACGCTGTGGCATAATCCATCGGTTGCAATGGATAAATTGGTCCATCCTCGTCCATCAGTGGAAGAAGAAAATCAACATCAGAGAGGCCTGATTTGGCCAATACCGTATCCAAAACGGTCAAAAACTTCCACAACCAGTTGTGGGAGCCTTTGCTGAGGAAACCCTCCGCCGCCACTGCTAGGGGCATGCCGCTGACTGCTGTCTTTGAGCGCCATATCACCCCTCTCATGGTACCATCGTGATAGATGATCTTTTGGAGGTCTAACCTTTGCGCGTCGGAGAAACGAAGGGATCCCCAGGCCATCAATAAAAATGTACCCAGTAAAATAGTTTCCAATACCGTGCAGTTGGACATGAGCACACGACGCTCCCACTGCACCAATGCCCACAGAGGCAGAGGAGGGGCTTGTTTCCTGTCCCTGGGCACCTTCTGGTTTAGAAAGGTTCCAATAAGAACTGAATGCACCACCTGTAAACAACCCACCTCTGCTGATTTCAATAGCCATCGAAGCGCTTTGATGACCGAACTGCAAGAACTACTGCCATGAGATGTAGATCTAGACAGTGACATTGTGATTAAAATGTCTGCCAATTGAACCTCAGTAAGGGATATCAAATCCACCTGTAACGCTTTGCAGGTCTTGAAAAAGGACTTGCAACTGGAAATATACTTCATAGCCGTGCCAGGTGCCACATTGTCCAAAATTCGGTTCAAATGCATGCGTTGATGCTGTGACATACTCGTCTCTTGCCAAATTCTGGATAGTGGGCCCAGCTGTGATAACAATTCAAACCACATCTGACAGAGCACCGGTGAAGCACTGGAAAAACGAACTCTGCTAATAGCCCCTGATTGACGTCTGGGAGGATGCAGTAACTGTGGAGAAGGCCTATTAGGCACAAAATCAACTGGTACTGACTCTGAATAACCCAAACATCCTTGAGGCTGAGGTAGCGCAACTCTCTGTTGCAACGTCGTCCAGCTCCGAATCACAGGTAAATTTTCTGGGGGAATTTGCAAAGGAGTAACCCCAGGTACAACGCGAATAGAATCAATAGGAAACGGATGGGGGGGGGGAACATTACCCCCCTGCTTTAAATCTGAAACCCTCAGGATACCTGGATGTCGCTGAGCTGAAGACTGTCCCGAACACCCCATAGTGCTCGTGACCACCGGATGCAATGCAGACACTTGGAATGGAGACACCAGGCGAGGACCTTGATGTAGAGGTGCACGCTGCAATGGAGCAGACTTCGGCCTGGAATGCAACGGCGGTGAAATCACTGAACTCGTGTCCCATGAACCCTCAAAACTCTGTACCAGTGACCAAACATCCATGGAATTATCCATCACGCCAATGCCGATGTGTATAGCAACTATGCCCTGTATGACCAGGCTTTGCACGTCCACAGGGTAAATCACACCAGCGACACGTTGCACCACACGATCCACGTTCGGGGATGGGTGACCCTGAAAGATTTTCCAAATCAGGTGTAGTTTGTAATGGTACAGATGATGCTGAAGATAAAGGGATACGAAATCGATGGCACAACTCGTTGACAATGAGGAGAAGTGCAGTAATCAACTGTTCTAGTGATAACACCGAGATCGTCGCTCCGTCCATGCCGCCCGGGACCGCCCGGTGTCTGTGAATCCAAAACGAAAAAACATGAAACTCTGAAAATATCTGCACGACAGGAAAAACGCAACTGATCAATGTCAATGCCTGCTACAGATGTCCAAAGAAAACTGTTGGCTGAGCAGACAAAAACGAAAAATGTATACGCACAAATGAAAGTCCTTGAGCCAAAATGGAATAGAAACACAAAGAAGTTCCTTGCAAAACACAATGAACAAGTACATTAAACTCATTGGCACAGGTCCAGACATCTTCTCAGGTTCAGATCTCTTAAGATCTCTTCTAAAACCTTCTCAACTGTCCAGTGTCGATCTTTCACAGATCACAGCAACCTCTCTTAGCGTCTGCCCCTCTCCCTTAGGATCACTGGGGCTCCGCTACCAGCTCTTTTTCACAGCTCGGACTTGAGCCAAACCACACAGGTTTGACAGCTCAGTCACTCTTCTTCTTAGAAGAGTCGTGCAGAGTAAAACGCAGTGACACTCAAACGTCTTCAAACTTCTCAAACTACTTCAAGTGAGTTCTCAAGCTTCAAAAACGTTCTTTCAGCTTCTCCAAATAAAACGTCTTCAGCTCAAACTCACAAATAACCTACAAAACTCCTACCAAATAAGTTCACAACATCAAGTTCCTAAGACATGGGTCAAACAACATCCAAAAACACCAAAAAACACAAAAACAAACGAAAATCCATCTCCAAGCTCTTCCATGCACAAACTGGGTCCATTTGGTTCCTAATTGGTTCCTACCTGGTTCCTATAGGTTCCTATGGGTTCTATAGTTCACAGATCGGTTCCTACAAACTTAAATGGTTACCTAACTGTTCACATGCACATGCATTGTTCCAAGATAGGTTTGAAGATGTTCAAGTAGGTTCACGGTGGTTCAGTACACTGTACATCCTCTCACCAAACTTTCACAATGTTAGGTAGCATGAGTGAGGGACAGCCACAGACAGTGCAGCAGCATATGCAAGATCGTTTTGTAACTATGCAACAGAGAAGAGGGATTCCAGAAGTGTTTGGTGATTTTTTTTCCGTCCAACGCCTTCATGGCTTTCGCCAGGTCGTTACAAACGTTCAACCGCAGCAGACGAGCTGAATTGTAATTGCTTGCAAGGCCGTCAAAGGATTCAGCAGCCTCAAAAGAGCTGGTAGTGGACCATTACAAAGTCCAGTGGGCAATCCTATCAAAGACAACACAAACCAAAAAAAGGGGACCAAAAAGCAAACAAAACCAAAACAAACACCCAAAAAGAAACACCCAAAAAAGGTCAAAGACAGGATTGCAACCAGCAGTTGGAGTTCCATGCACGATGACATCTTATGTGTCATCCTAAAAATGGCCCAAAATAAACCACAAAACAGACGAACAAAAACACACCAAAGGGCCACATTGGGTGATAGAAGCAACAAAAGCTCGATGCGGAAACCGGGGATCCCCCCAGCCAGGATCCCCGAGATCACAAAGAGCAGCCGTACCGGCATGATATTCACCCATGCACTTCGAAGCAAACACCGACAACGCCGGGTCGCAACGAGAGTGGTGAGAAATGAGAGAAAGGTGAAACAGGGAGGTGAAACATGGTCTAAAGTGAAAATGACAGCAAGGCTACGGCATTCAGGGCGCACTCAGTCCGCTCAGTAGTCCTTTTTCTATCATCATCATCATGTAGCCGCGATTTGCAGACAGTTCCATTGCGCTAGTGCTCTTGCAGGTAGTCTTCATGGATGGGAGATTGTGCTCATCATCGGTGCGTGGTGATATTTGTGCATTGAGCTCTTCCGATGACGTGCTAGCTCCTTTGGCTGTATGATCCAGTAGCAGTATGGCTTTCTGCGCTTGGCTCACTTCGTAGCTGGCAGAGATTGTACAACTATCCAATATGCAGCTAATTTGGCGGAGTTGGCGTATGGCGGCTTCGAGGTCAGTGACCCTCTGGGATGGGATATTATGGACACCTTGAAGCTTCTGGCTGCCTTGTCGAGGAGTTTGGTGGCAGCATCCATTTCACTGGCAGTGACCTGACACAGGGTCAGTTGAGTGATTGACTTTGCTAGGCGACTGACAGCAGCATCCTTTACTGGGGTTGGCTGGGCCATACCACGGGGCTGAACTGTACGCTGGGTGTTATGCAAGCGTAAAGCTGTTGGGCAGTTCATCAATCAATCGCATAGCTGACATAGTCAGAACAAAGGCATAGGCGTCCATTTGGAGGTGTGCACGGCCGGTCAGTGTGTTGGTCGAGGTAATGTCAGACGGCAACGGGTTCCATGGCTTGATGTACTTTGACATCATCCTACACTACCAACAAAACAACAACACTTAAGTATAAGCCCCCCCAAAAGGTTTACTATAATCCCTTACCCCATCTCTCTCCTCACACTAGCCCAGGCAAGCTTACTTCGTCGGCAGTTACGTCAGGCAGTGGTCAACCATGGGTGCCCCATGGTGACAGCACCTATCAACACATGTCCAAACTACTGGAATTGCACGGGTTGACTGGCGCTGGGGCGTTCGTGGCTGCTTGTGCCACTAGCTGCGGGGCGTGGGTCACCGCTTCCCGGCGGCCTCATCATTTGGGCGATAAGGGGATGGCTTTGCTTGGCAAGCAGGATCTTAGTCATTCCGCGAGTGAAGGCTGCAGGGTCGTCCACTAGCGCCTTAGCTTCAGCTAGTGGCCTATCAAGGACAATGGCAATGAGCATTTCGCCGCCGTCTTTCTGGATTAGGGCTGGTCGGCCGGCTTGCATTTGTGCAAGGATTGCCACCGCTTTATTTTCACACAGGGTACGTTTCCACTCTTCTAGGGCTCTTTGCGCCAGGGTGCAGGTCTGTGGCGGAGCCCTTTGGGCTGCCGGTGTCCCCAATACACGGAGGAAGAAACTGTCATGCAGTGTGGGAGACGGCAGGTTTGTGATGGCAGCTACTTCACGTAAAATGTCACCTTCTTTGATGTCATATGAGGCGGAAGATTTCTGTCCAATGGCCGGTTCGGAATCATCCCAAAGTTGTCGCAGCGTGTATCCTGCTTTCGGTTCCATATACCTTCTGTTCCATACTGCGTTGTGGGACCATTGGGGTGCGTCATGGTTTATTTCAACCGAATCTCTTTTCATGTCATTTATAAACTCTTGCTCAACCAAATATAACAAAGGGGGGGCCCCCCAACAAAAGAACCCAGGGGTTCAACGAACAAGGAGGGGGACCCAACATACTCATAGGCGTACCAGTCAAACAAACATACTTCCAAACCGATGACCAAATCAGTACATACGTACAAATATATACATATATATATTCGCATGAGTACGCACGTGATACGCCGGAGTTTCACAAATGAGATCACTCAGAATTCACTGAAACACATCAATGACAAAGGAAAGGCTGGACATCAGTTTGTTTCGTTTGACAAGGAGTTTCACTCGGTCACACATGCTGTTCATTTTTTCACGTGGGCAAAGTCTCGATGTCACCGAGCTATGGTTCCATGGGCATTGGAATGAGCCGCATCGTTTCCACATGAAACGTTCACCACAGGCTCCATTATTGTATTCACATATCACAGCAATTCATCGTCTCCAAAGAAACGGGCACCACAGAGAGTTTACCATTGTCACATATCTCAGTCATTCCCGATGAGGAATCACGAAGCTGCAATTGGAGTCAAAGGTGAAGTCGTCGGAGAAAAATGTCAAAAAGACGGTATTCGAGGCCAGCGATGGCGCGATCACACATACGCAAAAATCTTTGAAGTTCAGCATGAATTTGGTCGAGAAAAATCACAATAAAATGGCCGTCGAAACCCATGTCCTGCAAAAGGTCAACGGTCTCCTCAATGTGGCATTGCAACTGGAGGACGGTCATTCGAACCTTGGCAAAGAAAAGGAATTGGTGAAGCAGGACTTGCAGGCGCAAGATACTGGTATGGCGTGCAGCACGTAACATGGATGGGGGTACGGAAATTCAAAGATTTTTACAGGGCTGGAGCCAGAGCTCAAGCACATAGGATCAAAGGCCCAAATGGCCAAACATGCTGTCCATGGACAGATGCGCTGACCAAGTGTCAGCAACGTTATGTAGAAAGATGTCCCACATGGACAAGGGAGGGAGTGCGAAGCAAGGGGGGGAACAAAAACAGTTGGCCAACTGCCAACGAGCTCACTTGAGGGGAAACTGCATCATTCACAGATTACGCAGTGACCCCTGAAAACAAACATTCCACAAACCAGGTTGAATGTTTCAAACAGTTGGGGTTCAAACAAGACAGAAGTTAAAAAGGAACACAAGCACAAGTCCCTTGCAAACACAGAGTGTTTCTTCTCGCCTCCAACCCCTCCTGCTTATTTTTTTTTTTTGGTTTCAGGTTTTTTTTTTGGTTGAGGTGGCGCACGCCACACCTACGAGTTGATAAGGTAACAAGGCTAGCGCCTAGTGAAACTTATAAACTCTTGCTCAACCAAATATAACAAAGGGGGGGCCCCCCAACAAAAGAACCCAGGGGTTCAACGAACAAGGAGGGGGACCCAACATACTCATAGGCGTACCAGTCAAACAAACATACTACCAAACCGATGACCAAATCAGTACATACGTACAAATATATACATATATATATATATATTCGCATGAGTACGCACGTGATACGCCGGAGTTTCACAAATGAGATCACTCAGAATTCACTGAAACACATCAATGACAAAGGAAAGGCTGGACATCAGTTTGTTTCGTTTGACAAGGAGTTTCACTCGGTCACACATGCTGTTCATTTTTTCACGTGGGCAAAGTCTCGATGTCACCGAGCTATGGTTCCATGGGCATTGGAATGAGCCGCATCGTTTCCACATGAAACGTTCACCACAGGCTCCATTATTGTATTCACATATCACAGCAATTCATCGTCTCCAAAGAAACGGGCACCACAGAGAGTTTACCATTGTCACATATCTCAGTCATTCCCCACTTTCTTTTTATTAAGCTTTTTTTTACAAATCTACAAGAGGGACCCCTGTCAGAGGACAAACTGCTTGACGCCTCACGGCTCCCAGTTTCACCATCAAGTCGTGACATGCTCTAGATGGCTCATCGGCTGGGTTGCTCTGACTCGGGACTCTGGTGAACCAAGTCCAGGACCGGGCCTTCTCTTCTAGTTTCTCCCAGCACAACAACAGCTCCCGGACGGGTTTAGATCCGGAGGTTCCCTTGATGCATGCATCCATCGAGCTATTGTTGTCAAGGAAATAAATAGTGCAAGACCCACTAAGTTGATCGTTCCAGAGGAGCCGGCTCACCAAGATGGCATAGAGCTCCACAAGTCCAATGAAGTGGGAAAACATGGATCCCCACTCCTCAACCAAGCGCTCCGGCACTGCACATGAAAAATATTCAAACCGGTTGTCAATGGACACAACGCCCCCAATGGTGTGACCAGCAACCTCGCTTGCTCCGTCAGTAAAAGCCAGTATGGGCCGCCGCTGGTCGCAACACGGGACCATTCGGGGTTCTCCGGTAGTGAGCCTGTCCATCAGGATGTGCAGAGACTCGACGGCACACCGATCTAGGGTGACGCTCTCATGGCTTTTAATGGCAAGCCGGAACTCGTGCATGGCAATTCTTCCAACCCGACCCATAACCTGGGCATCTGCAAATTGTATGCGGCCCAGGATCCGACTAACCTCCTTCGCCGTCAACGTGCCACGAGCCAGGATTCCATTGACTGCATCTGAGACCTCTGTCACCCTGCCGGGCTTGTTCCTCACCAGGACAAAACCATTCATAGATTCGCTGGTGTCAATCTCGACCCCAAGAACAGTGGCTTTTGAGTCAAAGGGCTTCAGTTTATGGTCAGCAAACTGGAACCCGAGCATGTCGAGTAGAAGCTTAGCCATGCTCATTGAGGACTGTTTCAATATGCAAGGCGCCACCATTGGAAAGTCGTCGAAATAATTTCCCCAAAGCAGTCCAGCATGGAGCCCAATGGAGTGGATCAGCCGGGACACGCGGTTAAAATGAACCACGCTGGCCGTCGCCCCAAATGGCAGCACATTGCCAATGAAGCACTTGCATGAATTGTCTGAAGGATCCTTAAGGGCGATGACAGAGAGCCGCCTGCACTCCTTGCTGATCGCAAATTGTTTATATGCTGATGACAAATCCAAAACAGAAAGGAGAGGTCGACCACCACCCTCAACCAGATATGCGGGGTGAACCTTACCCTCCAGACGGGTTCCATCACTCCTTCGAAATGAAACATGTCCCAACGCTAATGCGCGGGTGATGGCAGCTGTCATCCACACGACCTGGTCTAAAGTGCGCAAATCCAACTTGTCTGAGTAGCCATAGGCAGTGTTCACACGGTTTTCCGCGAAATCGTCAATAGGCCGGAGCTTCATTCTATCACCAGAGGACTGCAGCACTGCGAAGCGTCTCACAGGTATCCATGGCTGTCCATTGAAAATATCATGAACCTGTTCAACTGTATGCGGGCCAGTCATCCAGTGATGGTTACTCGCTTCCTCCATTGTAGCATCCCACAATGGCTGACTCCCAGTATTAAGAGCTGCACTTTTGACCTTGCCAATCAACGCAGGTCTAATGAATTTTGCGCTCGCCCATAACTCCCCTTCAGAGGCTTGCGGTGGTCTGGGTTCAAGCCCAAAGACATTTGAAGGGGTCTGGATTCCAGTGAGTTTGAAGCCCGCATCAATTTCGTCAAAAAGATTGGTGTCAGGCCAATCCAAGCTGCAAGCTATCTTTCTGAGCAGGAGGAGCCTTTTGGGGGCAAGAACTTGTCCAACCTCAGGGTCAAGGCGTGACTTGTGTTCTTTCTCTTGCGCTTCAAGCTCCTCTGCCCAACTCATCCAGAGCTTCATTTTGGAAATTCGAAAAGTGCAAACATCTGCAGGGGACGTGGTCAAAATGAAAAATAATACATCAAGCATTTGATCAGGAACGGCATGAAAAGTGTCAAACGGGTGGTGCAACGTCAGTGACCTGTCAATCCACTTCATGGGAGTTCTGTAAATACCAAACTTCAAAACTAAGCTGCTCTCGCCTTCCCCCCTTTTCGTAAAACTGAGCAGCTTTGAGCCACTGGGAACATGTTGAAGGCAGGCCGTCAAGCAACCTTTGGCATCGGTTGTGGGCATTGATGCAGCTGTGACAATCTCAAATCGCTCGAACTCGGAAATCAAAGGTGGCATGCGTCGTCCTGCCGGCTGTTTATGCATGGCAATCATTCCTTTGTAGTTGACTGCAACATTGTTGGGATCTGCCTCAAATTTCTGCGGAAAAAGTTGCAACGCATTTTGCACAATGGAAACCACTTGAACACACAGCTGTTTGGTGTATGCCGCTTCATCACTAGTAGCATATTTAAAGGTTCCATCACTCTGCCGTGTGCGCCCAAAAGGGGCATGTTCATGGTTGCCAGGACATAGGGCTTGGATGCCGCACATTTCAGGCAAAGTTGAAAGGAAGGATCGGTGCAACTTTCGAGTAGATCCCCATGCGCAAGTATCATATTTGTAAAACCTGCAAGGTGTGTCAGCAATCAAATTAACAAAGCATGGAATCAGCCACAAATAGCTAGAGGTTGGGTTTTCGACGCTCCATGGAATGTCCTGCAAGGTGCATTGCGTCAAAAACCTTGTCAAGCCACTATACAATGCATTTGCCAGTTGAACTCTTTCAAGATCTCTGCCTTCCAAATGTGGCAGTCCAGATGGGTAGTCCTCACTACGCAACTGCTTTGGCCCCCCGCCAGGACCAAGCGGGATTTCTCTGGCACGACTGGTGCTGCATGTATAAACAACATTGTAATGTTCAATAATATGGTGAAGGAAGGCCCATCCATGGTCTGTCGACGGCTCCACATTGCAAACAGTGACATACGAGTGAAAACGGTTAGATTTGTGGTCTATGGCCAAGTGCTCAAAACCACTGTCTTTGAAACACTTACTCAACATGGCAGTCCCTGCACATAGTTCTATGATCAAAGGAGCGCCCTGTTTTGTTGTCCCCGCTTTAACGCCTTCTTTGGCGGGCAAGCCAGGATCATCCACTGTTGTCGCACCAGCTGCATCCATTGTAGAGTCACCAGTGCCAGTGTTGTGAGGTGAAACATCGCACTCCCCAAGTCAGTTGCTGCGTTTGTTTGGGCACGTCTGGAAGGTATGACTTGACTGAAAACAATTCTTCATGCAGCAAATGTGCATACCTTTCCGGCAACGGCCTTTGGTCACGGGCAATTTGCAACCATGAGGAAGGTTATGGTCAAAACATATGGGCTGGTTGTTGCGGTTTCCAGGTGCCCCGCCTTCCAGCCCAGCAGGCATCTTGATGGTGAGCGATCCGCCGCCTTGTTGACCCTTAGACTTTCCCTTGCCCTTATTCTTTGGCCTGGGGACCTTAGCCTCAGGCCTGTCATGACTGGCATCACTTGTCCTCTTGACGGAAGTGCTACTGCTATTTGGCAAAGGCTGCAACAAGTGTAAAACATCAGGGTGCTCCATGGTGTTCCTAAAAATTGCATCCAGTGGTCGGCCTGTGGCTGTGGTCTGGACACCTGACCTGCTCCCTTCTGCAAGTTTCACAAACAACTTCCGGTCTGCGTTGATAATCTGCTGCATGCTAATTTTGGCATATCCGTCTGGTTGACTTGCGACTCGACAGTCAAAGATTTTTTTAACCCACCTGTCATGCTCCAGGTAGTCCAGCAAGTTCGCCTGGTCAAGGGCGAGGCCTCGCCTCATCAGAGCCAACCTGACAAACATATCTGATGACAAATCTGCTTCCATTTTGTGTTCCTTGTCACGTATGCGGACAGCCCCACTTGCATCAATTGCAACATGTTTGTCCTCCCGCTGGGATGAGTTCAAGACCTCCTGTTCTTTCGAAGTGCACCTGCTGAGTTCAACATGCTGCAATCTGTTTTCCTCGTACAGGGACACTGCAAGATCGACCAGTCTGTCGCTCGGTTCAAGTTTTCCTTCAATACGGATACCTTTGAGTTTGGATTGCTGACGTTTCAACCTATCTGCACGTTCAGGCTGTGCTAGTTTCTTTACTGGCATGTCCTCAACTGGTTCAACTGAGTGCTTCAGCTCTGCTGCTGTAAGGCTGTAGGCCTCATGAAAAAGCCTCCTCAATGAAGCAAGTTGTCCAAGGGTTGGATCTGCACCTAAAGCAGATGTCATGGCCGTCACAAATGGGGCCTCATCTGAGTTTCCTGGGACATATGCAGAACTGAAGGCAAACTTTGCAAGTGTGTTTACACCATTTGTGCACAAGGCTTCAACGACGTCATCTGCCAATCCAAGCGCAGCCGCTCGGGCCCTGAAGTTTGGCTCACTGTCAGTGAGTGACATTGCAGACTAACTCCTAAATGCAAGAAACGGAATTAGTTTACCATGAAGGTAATGAGGGATTACCTTAGGTCAGGACTATGGGTAATTGAGGAAACTCCTATTAAAGCAAAGGATTTTGGGTGGTCTGACAGTCTTATGATATCATGCATTTGTGTTGCATGGGATCCCAAGTGGACCCCTTTCGACATGGCGTCAAATACGCCGCTTGAACCAGCACATCAACCAAGTGTTGATTGACCCAACTGGTCACGCCCAAATGGCACTAAGGTTCAACTATTGCGCAACATGCATTGCTGCTCATGCGTTTCAAAATTCCAAAAAGAAAATGAACCCAGGTTTCAAGTTGTCAGCTTGGTCACACAGGGTCATGAAGTTTTTTTTCATCTCAGCCACGGGCATCTCTGAAACACTGGCTGCATTGCGGTGACATAAACTTCGGTCTAATCTCAAGCTCTTCATATTTGTTATTGATCTCCCTGCCGCATCGAAACTTGTTGCCCCCCTCCTCTGAAAGCAAATGAATGTATCTGGTGAATCGGTTCCTGAAGAGCGGGGCGTCCTCTTGAACTCCCAGGGCTTCAAGAGTTGCATGTTCATTCCATGAGCCTACCACGTGGTCCATGGCCGCCTCATTCATGTTTTGTTCCTCAAAGGCATGCTCATCGTCACGGGAGTCTTCAGAGTCTGTGTCACTGAAATCCACTACCGTGTCAGTTTCAGGGGTGCCAACTCCAGAAAGGGCCTGGTCAGTTTCAGGCTCAAGTCGATGACCCTGCATTGGAAAGTACCCAGATCGCGTGGCATCAGGGACGAAGGTCTTCTTCCTGACACAAGCAAGGCATTCCTCAAGCTTCCTAACCGGTCCAGCAGATGCATCACGTGAATACAGCAGGGCCATCTTGTCGGCACTCGGCATATGATATCCCAAATGTTGCCTGATACTGATGGGGGCCCCAAACTTTGCCATCCAGCTGAGTGTTGTGGTCTTGAGCGAATGTGTCCCGATGTTCCCAAGCGCTCCAAGCGGGATACCCGACACTTGCAGCAGTTGCCGCAGCCAGTCAGCACCTTCTCCAGCTCCAAGAGGTGTCTTTGTCCAGCCGCCCTTGGAAGGATATGGCAGCATGGGCATAGCTTCACCCCTCGGTTTTCCACACCTGACACCAACTTCCCTCCAGGTGGTGAACCAGTCAGCTCCGGTAACACCAAAACGCGGTGCAACCATCGGCAGGTACTTCGTTTTCATTTCAGTTGTGTAGGCTGATTTTGTTCGACCAACTTTCCCTTCAATGTACCCTTGGGGGCTTCCATCAACGACAATTTCATCCAAAATGAGGTCCTGCAAGTTCATCATATCTGAAAAACGGGCCCTGAAGAAAATGCACAACAAGAAACATCCTGCCGCCACCCGGTCTCGGTCTGGATATTTGTCAGCCATGACAATCTTCTCCAGGTGTTCGACCATTGCAACACTAAGGGGGTCCTTCTGCAGGGTTCGTCTCTTCTTCAGATAGGCTTCACGTGCACACCCTTCTACCCTTTTGCTTGCAAGGACTGTATCACCACCAGTAACCCCAAGGACATGGAAAGAAAACCTGATTGCAACCAAATAAGATCGTAGAAATGTTGGTGCAGAAGTGTCAGCATGTTCGCACATGAAATTGTAAACCGTAGCCTCAACCAAAGGAAATGCTGGAATGCCGTTCATGTCACACCACATGATATACCGCAGGACTGGGCTTGCACGCGCATGCAGAGTTCCTGTAGCCTTACCTGCAAAAATGTGCCTCAGACCATCACCCAGGGCCTGTCCCATAGGCGACAAGCGGTCCCACTGCCTGCCAATTTCAAATGAGTTCAAATACATCATAATGATTCCAGCCCACTTCCGAATTGCTGCAACCCGCTGAGAATTGAGCAAAGCCTCCCAGGAGCGTCCTGTCACAGTTCTCTTGGCTCTAAAAATCCTCAACGCTTCAGGTCTGTCAGAAGCCTCGTCATCACCTTCATGCTCAGGGGTGGCCACTGCAATCACTCCACAAGGTTTTGGAACCAGAGGTATACTGCTGCCAGGAACTGAAATTGGAGGGCGCGCAACATAAATTGGATTGAAAATTGAACCCCACACTGCACGTCTGGAAAAAGCCAAATGCGATTCATAAGCATCCATGTCATTACAGCTCATCCCCACTTTCAAACCAAAGTAAATAGGCAATGGCTGCGAAAAATCCAACAGTGAAGGCCAAAATGCCACAGCAGACCAAAATTCGAAAAGAATTGAATGACACATGCACTGATGGAATCTGAAGTGCAGCCAGCCCCTTCTGGATAGCCGATGCAGTGCGAAAGGCCGCGGGCATCAACGAATGAACGGAACAAAAACAGTTGGCCAACTGCCAACGAGCTCACTTGAGGGGAAACTGCATCATTCACAGATTACGCAGTGACCCCTGAAAACAAACATTCCACAAACCAGGTTGAATGTTTCAAACAGTTGGGGTTCAAACAAGACAGAAGTTAAAAAGGAACACAAGCACAAGTCCCTTGCAAACACAGTGTTTCTTCTCGCCTCCAACCCCTCCTGCTTATTTTTTTTTTTTGGGGTTCAGGTTTTTTTTTTGGTTGAGGTGGCGCACGCCACACCTACGAGTTGATAAGGTAACAAGGCTAGCGCCTAGTGAAACATTCTTTAAGCATGTCATCTAATTCTTGGCGGGTCGCAGCTCGGTGAATACAACATTGCCTAACAGCACCGTCGATGTGCAGTGGCCATCCGACTGGCATGTAGGAGTCTTCAAGGATTTTTTTTCCTCGAGTGTGGCCGATGTCGCGCTGAAGGCTCGGTCCTTACATGAGCATAAGCAGGAAATACTTTTGTACAAGGACAAAAAAGTCCTTTGAGGCGGCAAATCGATTGAAACAACAAAAGCAAAACCACAACCAACCGAAAGCGACGACCCGCAAATCCCCCAGCCAGACTTGCGTTTCGCCAGCGGAAACAGCGAAGCAAACGGCAAAACACAAACAAAAACCACAAAACGGGGCCAGAGCCCAAACAAAAACACCCACCGAATCGACTTGCCATTGGACGCAGTGGCTTGTCCACTGCATCACAATCAAAAACATGCCAAACGAATTAGGGATCACGGCTTTCCAGGCAGACATGAAGGCCTTAACTTGTGAGTTTACTCTAGCATGAGCCAAGCTGTACAAGAAAGCAGGGCTACGACTAAAGCTTCTCTCAGAGTCCTCTCAAATCAGCTCGTCAATGGGCCTTTATGGACATAGTAGTCGTCATCATATCTGTCAGCCGCGACCACGAAGCCGTGATGTTGAGACAATCAGATCCCCCCCTAGAGGGGGGGGTGGACAGTGATGGCAAACGGGAAGCATCGTGGGCCAGGGAAAAGCTTCCAAACATACCATCGCAAAAAAGCACGTCCCTAGTTTCATAGGGGAAACTGCGGCCACCCTGTTGATTAGTCTCAGCCTGCGAATTCCTTAGGCAGTAATCGCAAAGCTGAGTAACATGCAGAAAACCATTGTATTTGCAAGATTGTATTTGCAAGTGCCACCATACCTGTGCTGTCATAGGCAGTGTCGCGTTCTTGGATGCAGGTTCGCAAGACATACACACTACAGAACTGTTCAGGACATTTCAGGATGTCATCGTCCCTGAAAGACCTGGAGTGCATTGCAGTACGCACAGACGAAGATTGTAGCGAGACTACGGCCATAATGCCACTCACCCACAGAATAGACAGGCTGCAGAATTACCACATCTTTCGACCAATTGACGAACCATGCTGGCAGTCTTGTGCTGCTCGCGGGCGCCCCAGGCTGTCCTACAGGGAGAAACACCGGAGTGCACCGGTGAAGCTCACTGCAGCACAGTCTGGTCCATGGCATCGGCCGGCTAACTACCGCCCCTCTCGGTTGGGTGCAGCTACCCATGTAGAGTACCCACACAGAGGACATACCAAGGAGACCCAGAGGAAGCAAACGAATTAAAGTCAAATGAAAAAGGCAGCCCCTAAAAGAGAAAGAGGTCAAGTCAGCAGGAAAAACAGACCCAAAAGACGGTCCATTACCATTTTGTTCTATGATTGTGCCTAGCATAGGGACATCAATTGTTGCCTTAAGGCTAACCTGTGCACGTTTGCACTTCCATGTGTTAGGTGCAAGCAAACCACGCGCGGCCAGTAAAGCAAGTGAGTGGACCTGTACGCAGTCCAGCGAGCTGTCCCAGCAATAAACCAAACAAAACAAAAACCAAAACCAGAAACAAAAGAAACCAAGCAAACAAAAAACACAACCACAACCAGAACAAAACAAACAAAACACAGAGAAGTGTAGAAAAAGCGCCGTGCACAGATCTACGGTCAAATCCAACGCTTCTTCCAAAATTCCTACAGAACTACGCAGGCGGACGCGTACGTCAACCACGCACACCAAATACAAGCGCAGAGCGTAAATTCCCAAAACCTAATTAAACTGAAGCAATACCGTGTCAAAAGGAATGTTTCATCCTCGACTCCCACATGCTGACGTCAAGCTCCTTCTTTTCGCTCCAGGCGCAACACGATCAGTCAAAGGGAAACAAAAACACAACAAACAAAGAACAAAAGAGCAAGGAAGATGATGTGTTCCCTGTGTCGGTCTGTCTTATGTCAAGTTATGTGACACAGCAGCTCTTGTTCACTAAATGAACTTCTGACACCAGTCCTTCGAGCCGATGTCTCAACTGGTAAACTCGATTTCAGGTTTCCAGTTAACAAACCTCAAGTTCTTCAAATAAAGGTTTGTTGAAACTATTCCAGCTGCTAGAAGTTTACAAAACTCAAGTTTCACTAGATGAATTCAAATCATCGAAACACTTCCAAAAGTTCTCAAAGCAAACTGGTTCTCATCCAAACGTGAATAACCAGCTCATTATTTCTCCACAAAACCAGGATCGATTGAGACTAAGTCAACACCGGTGGTGGAAGTTTCGATGTTAATTTGCAATCCATATAATTATATTAAATTATATGGCGTACCGTTGTGACGTAAGGTAAACAATATTCGTGTAAATGTACTATTTACACAAATAAAACTTACTACAAAAAACGCAGTTGCCGACGTTTCGAAAAAGAGAACACAAGTGCACAACACTCGGACTTTATATTGATTTTATTTGTTTCTCGAGGAAACCGGTTGGGTTGGAAGTTTCCACCTTATATCCTGTGTCCTTATCCATGTATACCATAGACATATCAAACAACACAAACAATTAAAATATTTATAAAGTTGTATACGCGCGAAACGTTCGTCAGATTCGTCCATCACGCTTCTTTCAAAAATTTGTTCCTCACATTCACAACTTCTCCAAAATTTCTCTTTGCAGAAATTCTCGGAAAAAATAAAAAACATGCAGCAACTGAAATTGACGGTGCACATGAAAGATGACATACTGCAGATCGGAACACTCTCTTTTTTAACCGGAGCAGTGGGGGAAAGTTCAATCCCGCTCACCTTCAAACGGCTGAGGGGTAGGCTCTAGAAAAAAGCAACCTTCCTTGCAAAGCATCCAAGGTTGACAGAGAAAAGGGGCGGGAAAAAACCCTGTGTTTTGGGCGGGTAAAATTCACAACCACTCAAAAAGTGAAGTGAAAAACCCTCCACACCCACCCTGGTTTGAGGCGAGCGCACATATATAAAATTATATGATGCCTCTGCCATGAAGGTTTTGACAGTTGACTATTTCACTTCAAAACCTGCCAAACAAAACCTAGAGCCTTCAGATTTGTTTTCAAACGTGTAAACTGTTTTCCAAAATTGAAAACCAGTTCTGTTTTCCACGTTCAGGTTTTTGTGTTGTTTGAGCACAGGTGTGAAACACAGGTCAAGAAACAAACCCAACCTAATTTTGCCACATACAAAATTTTTCCTCTTCTGTACAAATAAGGGGATCATCATTTCTTTGAAATGAGTTGCTCCCTTATTTGTTTCTCGAGGAAACCGGTTGGGTTGGAAGTTTCCACCTTATATCCTGTGACCTTATCCATGTATACCATAGACATATCAAACAACACAAACAATTAAAATATTTATAAAGTTGTATACGCGCGAAACGTTCGTCAGATTCGTCCATCACGCTTCTTTCAAAAATTTGTTCCTCACATTCACAACTTCTCCAAAATTTCTCTTTGCAGAAATTCTCGGAAAAAATAAAAAACATGCAGCAACTGAAATTGACGGTGCACATGAAAGATGACATACTGCAGATCGGAACACTCTCTTTTTTAACCGGAGCAGTGGGGGAGAGTTCAATCCCGCTCACCTTCACCCCAATTAACAGATCTGAATTTCCGTATTAGCTCCAAGAGTTGTTCCCACTCGATCGTGACTCTACTGACGCCTTCAGCTGTCAGTTCTGACACGTCAAGCCTGCTAGGTTTGTCTGCTACGTTGCTGCTTGTAGGAACTCGGGCAAACCAGACTTTCAACTGACATTGCATTTCTCGGACTGTGAAGGATCTAACTAACCAGCTGCCATTGCCGCTGGGAGTGGCTCCTGCTATGAGTGCTCCTTTGGCCGCCTCATTGTCCAGGTAGAACACTCCTTGGCAGTACTGGAGTTCTTTTTCCCAAACATGTAGTGCTACCGTCACTGGCAGTAGTTCAAGTTCAAAGACTGGGTGTCTCGACTCGGCCAGAAATATGTCCATCCATTGTTTGGGCACCTGTTCAGAAAAGAAGGACACAGCTTGGCCTGCATCATTCACTAACACCGCTCCGATCGATCCCAACTTGGTATCCTCTCCTTCGCATGCACCATCTGAAAAAACATACCAAGTTTGCAAGTTGGCCGCCATGACCTTTGTCGGCGCAGCTGAGAGCACTCGGTCTTTCAAAAACTTAAGTGCACCAACCTCTTTTGCTCCTATGCTTTCTTTTTGCCTCCCAGCCGATGCCATGCTACTGATGACCTTCAAGGACTGCTGTGCTACTCGACCATGGGAAAAGGTTTCGAACCATTGAAGTCTCCCTCGGAGCCTTTCCGCATCTTTGCAAGTCAACGACCCTTGTACCAAAATGGACTCTATTAGAGCCGTCAGCTCCTGTATCCTGGACTCAGTGTGTCCAATCGTGACGAACCTGTGTGGAATGTTTACCTCTCGCTCCGGT